CAGCAGATCGACGTTCTTCAGCTTCGATCAAGGCCCGGAGTTCTGGAGAGTATTCTCCAGCCTTGTTTGTAATTTTGTGACTGACGCAGGATTGGTGAGAGGGAGCCTGAAGTGCAGGAGCGCATGTAGGCGCCTCTGTAATTGCTGTTTCTATTTCCTTGTTGGAATTAGAGCCTGCTATCTATTTAGTAGTGGGGATAGCAATATTTTTAGTAGGTCAATCTGCTAGCTGTGTTACTTCAATAACTCTATCGACTCTTTCAGCTGAGCTGTGGTGCGTGACCTCAGAAGGCTATACAGTGTCTTATACTCTAGCGTCTGATCACATAGAGTCTGTTAGACCTTTGGCAATGGCTATTTCATAGGCCTTCCCCATCTCTTTCATTTCTGGCTCAACTTTGCCATCAATTTCCATCTTGTCGAAAATGTCTATTTCCATCTTGTCATAATTCAGGGAATTTTATATCGCTTCCCTTGCATTTATTTTGGAGCGGACCAAGTACTTCGCTTTCTTGATCATTTCCTTGCGGTCCAAAGCGCGTTCTTCACCGACAAAGACGAATTCTTCACCTTCCAGTGGTGCCGGTGTAATCGCTGAGTGTGCTCTGCATATTTGGGATAGCCAAGAAGAATCACATCCGAATCGAAGTCGAAATCAAAATCAAGCACATCTCCATTTGATGACTTCTCGACAATGCCTCTCTTACTATACTCATTTGAGCCCTCAACTTCTCTCTGACCACACCTCATCTCGCTTCGACGACCAATAACGAAGTTGCTCCAATTGCATACAGGAGCTTGCCCCATTAACTTCCAGTCATCTCTCCCTATATATTTACGACGCTATTTATACCCGCAAGGAGGAAATTAAGTCGAAAAATACAAAGCCTGGGTCTTGGCTGATAGGGGACTGTTGCTCTAATGGGACAAAGAACGCTAGGGAGAACAAGTGCCTAAGTTGTGAAGCGAGGGGGGGAACAGGTCTCTGAAGACCATGCTTGGACTGATATTTTCGAGGAGTTTTCAACTTTGGAGTTTTTGTGGACACCAAGACCAAGGATTCGGCTAATTAGCCAAGAGGGCTACTATTGTTGATGAGTCAACGGCACTCCCCAGCGCCCTAGACGGCACAAAAGAAGCTATGCTAAGCTACTATACAGCAATCACGCTCTGTCAAGACTTTTCTGACATTTCAGCACGACCTTCGGGAAGGAGTTGGAAGGAGGCTAGAAAGGCAGAGGGTGAATTGCCCGAGGTAACCACAAGTCTGTAGCGCCCAGCTGGCCGGCCTCTTTGAACGCTTCAGAAGGATGACTTTGTCTTCGGATTTAGTCCTGTTGTCGGCATTAGAAGAGCCCCGCACCCTGTGGTTTTTGCGATTTTTCCCAGCTACCATACACCCGCAAATGGCCATCGTTTCGTTGGCTGAAGAGGGGATAAAATGAAGGGCAAAGGGCCCCTCTAAGTGTATGACTGAATGAGGACTTGTGAGGGGTGGTACTGTTTAAGGAAAGCTGTATGGGAGGCATAGGAGGAGATGTACTACTGGTATATGTATCCTTGATCTGTAGGCAGAGAGGACCTGCATTTCCTATATAGTCATAGACTCAGATAGGACAACAAAATGAATTAACAAAGGCGCATTCTTTAACGAGTTTTGTTCGCTCGTTCTGCTTCCGGTTGGGAGCCGCGGGCGTCATAGCGACAAATTTGTCGTACGGCCCAAGAGAAATTGCCCTCGTTTGTGGTTTTGATATATTGGGGTACGGGGTAATAGGAATTGAGGCAGTTTGCAATTTCTCGGATTGGGCGGTTGTTTGTCTTGCAGAAAGTGCTAGGTAATTGGCGCCCTCCGCACTCCTGTGGGAGCTTGAGCACGAATGGGGCCGTGCTGGATCAGGTTAAGTACCATTGGGTACATCTACCTCGTCCCACCTCATACTTCATCCATTTGTTGAATCATATCAAGCCAAACCATCCAGAGAACCCTCTTTTGACGCGCCGAATAGCAAATACCTCCTCACTCTAGGCCACCACTCGCCCGAGCCCTTGACACCTCCGCGATCTGTAACTTTTCTCTTCTATTCAGCCCCGGCTTTTGCTCATCTCAGCATCTCCTCATCTCATCCAGGGGTCATTTTCTTCATTGGAGGCCTCATCCAGCTGCCCACCGAGGCCTTCTCAATTTATACTACTTTTTTCCTCTCCCACACAGCATCCCTTTGTACTTAAGCCAGCCTCGTCATCCTAGAAACTTTGTAGAATGTTCACCCCTCCGACTTTGCCCCGTCGCTGCCATGCCCCTAACCGTGGGGGTCGAAAACGCGACTGAGGGCTAAAAACCGAGGCACCGGTGCTCCAGCTTTTGTCATATGTTCTGGTTGGTGAGCCGGCGAAATGCCGTAGGTATTTCGTAGGTGGCGATTCGTCGCAGGTCAAGATGTTGGTGCCCTTGGCCGAGGTGAGGACGCATTTCAGGTCGGTATCTCATCTTTACCCTGACAGCGACTGGTATTTGCGGAGGGTCGGACATCCTCTTGCTTCTTTGTTGGCGATTTGACTTTTGGAGGTATGGGATTGCTTCGGAAGATGATGAGATGATTGTGGAGAGGGCCGCGAGATGAGTTTGGCTGGGGATGATTTTCTAGAGAAACAGAAAATAAGATCTTGAAGGTTTCGGTTGTTGTGAGACGAAAACCAGATAGGTTATAGCCTGTCTGTGGTTCATACCTGGGGTGTAGATGGTTGATTTCGTTGAGTTTTGCAGTCGTGAAACCTCTGCAAGTCGGATTTCAGACCAAAAATGAGCCGACACCACTCATCCCGATCGCCAAGTCGACGAAAACTCTCAAATATACCCTTTGTCGTGACTAAATCTCGGCTCTGGGAGAATATTTCACCCCCAGGTTCGTAGAGGACATCACTGACAGTTGTTCAGCCTTCCTCCTCCGTGGCGGATAGCTGGTCGGACTCTTTTGCAGTTTTTAAGTGCTTTATGGCGCGCCAGGGCGTCGGGTGTTTCTGTAAGAACTGAGCCTTCCGGTTCGTGACAATGATTATGGGCTGTGCACTGGCACGACTTTAAATTAAATCATTCTCAAACCCCTAGTTTGGGACAACCAAGGAATACCTGATACTTTTTAGCTGGGTGAAAGTAGAATAGAATAGAATATAATTTTATTGATGTCCCTATTGAGTCTACAACTATGTGGGACAGCTAAAACTATCTAAGCAGGTTAAAAGTTGAAAATATATTTGGATATTGATATGTTTAATATCTTCAAATGGATGATCAGGGTTATGCCTGGTGAAGGTAGAAACAAAATAACAACTTCTACTTTCACTTTAAATCCTTTCTTTTTTTATTACTTAAACCCTACGTGTATTTACGATTAAATTGACCGACACAGATTGAATTATTTCGATGGCATTTTTAAGTTGAGATGTTGGCACGTGTTTCAATAGTTCCATTGATTTCGAACTAACAAGGTTATTCCTGTACATGGGCGTAGTCTCTTCCAAATCCATATATATCAAGCTGGCTTGATCTGCTAAATATCTTTGAAGGTCATATTCACCATTCTCTCTGTCCATATTTCATAACTTTACGTTACATGATGCGTCTGTCTCTTAGTGGATAAGTCGCGCAGAAAAGATTTATTATCATTCATTAGCCCTGTTAATAAATGAGGAGCTCCGATCTGGTAATATTGGGCAGGCTCAAAAAGGCCAAGGTTACTAGATACTGCTATAACGAGTCTCCCATAGATATAGGACTCAAAATTTCCCGAATCCGCTATTTCGAGTCAACCTAGAATATTAAGGATATGGTGTTGTAGAGTGACGACAGGATTGGCGCATTAGGAGTTAAGAAACCTCAAATTAATTTTCATTCGTATTCATTTTCGATATTTATCTATAAAATAGACAGTCTTCCGTTACCATTTTATTTCAAATTATTTTGTTGATTCCCAATTACACTTTATATCCAAATCCCTATTCACCTGGTTCTGTACTCGGAGCCAATTCTTCTCCATCTTCTTATGTTCTAGACATCAACTTACATGTGCAATCTGAGAACAGCTGTAATTAAAAAAAATTATTGAGGTCTCAAAAACATAGTTGGGTTAAGCACTTATTGACTCCAGATAGCCTTTGTTTCGTTGCTTGGAGGTGAGGTGGTGAGAGTCAAAAAGCTCCTGTGAGTGCACGCCGGGATAAAGAACTGTGGGAAGTAATGCTGTAGAAAGAGAACTGTGAAGGAGGCTTATGTTTCCTGTGTCTATAAGTAAAAAGAACCAATATATCATGCATTTTTTTTGGTTTAATGTGAACTCAGCTGCGTTGCTTTGACGCATGAGCAGTATTTTTGTGTAGATATATGATGACTTCTTGACGTTAGAGACGCTCATTTTCGGTATTCCATTATAAATACTACTATGAGGTATATTTTTTTAAACTAACCTATCGAACCTCTTCCGGAAGTGCCAACCAAAGAATAATAATCGTTACTCGATAGAGAGGTATAGGGCAATCGATGGAAATAGGCATGGGTGGCTAACCCAAATTTATGGTAGCCTTGCGCCCCCGATTCTGTAGATTTGTTTAGTGACACAGTCTAGCGCGGGGCAGATCAATTGAATCCAGTACTGAGTCAGTATTTTAGATGAGAGAACGATCACTCTCAGCTAATGATTAGGCCTTGGCGTCAAATCATTATATAGGTCCCGGGCTTATGTAGAGTGAAGCGTCAGTTGTCCTGTGCGCCCCGCAGAAGGTATGGGCTCAGTGTTACTCGACTGCACGACACAAGCATCAAACAGGCAGTTAGCCGTACGTCTCACTTTTTGAAAATGTGCTAACAAATATAACTTGAACATCTTCACAGCCAATATCCGGCTCTTAATATCTAAGATTTTGGATAACCACCAAGGACATCAAACATTTTCCATATCGCTCTAGTATCCGCCAACAGATTTTCGTTCCAACAGAGTATCAAAATGAATGAATTCACCAACGTATCTGAAGGTAGAGTGACAGTTCCTCGGTATACTCTGAGTGCTGAAAATATAGCAGATGCTATAGATGATACGAATCAATCATCAGAGCCTAGAACAGACCATGAACTTCCGGATTCCAATATTAAAGCAGTTGAAAGAGTTATTTACTCTGAGATAGGAGTGGTAACATTGCTTAACAGGTTAAAACAATCAATAGCCTCAGCTAAGGTGGGTCAAGTCAAGAATTCAAGAGCAAAAAAGTGCTCACAGGACCCAAGGAATTCGCAACTTTTTTGAAGAAGCGCTCTTCAATTGAAGAGGAGCATTCTAACGGGCTTAAGAAGTTGTGCCGCACAACAAATGAAAGTATTCGAAAGCCAGATCATCGACAAGGCACATTCCTCACAGCATGTGGCGATGTAACAAATACACATGAACAGATAGCAGACAATGGGGCAAAGTTTGCTCTAGCATTGCACGAAATTCATGATGATTTATCAGAAATGGCAACAGGAATGGAACGTAGCCGCAAATACTGGAAAAACTCAGGAATGGCAGCCGAACAGCGAGCCGCGGATTCGGAAACTGCCGTGAAAAAGGCTAAGGCTAAATACGATACCTTAGCTGATGATTATGATAGAGCCAGAACAGGTGACCGACAGTCTGGTAAATTACTAAGGTTAAAAAGCACAAAATCGGCGGCGCAATATGAAGAAGATATTTTAAGAAAACTTACCGCTGCTGACGGAGAATACGCTATGAGAGTACAGGCAGCACAAACTCTGCGAACTGATCTTTGGCTTAAATCTCGACCAGAGACAGTCAAGGCTCTAGAAGATCTCATTAAAGAATGCGATTCGGCCTTGACCCTTCAAGTACAGAAATTCGGTACCATTATCAGTATCTTCGCCTAGAAGTTTTCACTAACAAAAGATAGCCTCGTTGTACGAAAAACTTCTTCTAAGCAATGGCTTGAGTGTGAGTCCCTTGAAAAATACTCAAGTAGGCAATCAATCACGAAGTCTCCGGGATGCTGTTCATGCAATCGATAATGACCGAGACTTGACTGAATATATTCTCGGCTGCTCTAGTCAAGTTCCATCTCGAATATCAGAAATTAAATATCAGCGTAACTCGGCTAGTCTTCCATTGAGATATTTATGAATCGCGACTGATGCTTTGAAGTAGGTTTTAAATCAGACTATGCCTACACACCGAACACAAGACTCAGTTACTTCATTTCTTTTTAAGCATGGCCCCTCACAAACGTCAGCTACAATGCCCCCATCCAATAAAAATTCAACCAGTGCACAGCAATATCCTCAAGAAACGGTACCTTCAACGAAACAACATGAGAGAGTTACAAGTCATGGTACAATATCGCAACATGACGTGGAACCAATGAGGGAAGTACAACAAACATCTACGACACAATATAGTAATCATTCTGGCCCTTTTACCTCCACCGAACCACCTCAAATCTCTTCTCTTTCTCTTCACCCCTCGAAAACGCCGCCTTTATCATCTCCGCTTCAGTCTTCGTCTATCAGTAACTTTGTTGGCCATTCGAGAAATACAAATCTACCTCCCCTAAACCCCGTATTTGGACTTAGCTTGAACCGGCTTTCTGAAAGAGATGGTTCTGCAGTACCCATGGTAGTTTATCAGTGCATTCAAGCGGTTGATCTGTTCGGACTCGAAGTTGAGGGAATCTATCGACTTTCAGGAACAGCCTCACACGTCAGCAAAATAAAATCTCTGTTCGACAACGGTATGTCACTCTCCAGATCCATACTTAATCTAATTTCAGTTAGACGCCTCAAAAGTAGACTTCCGTGATCCTGCAAACTTTTTCCATGATGTAAATAGCGTCGCAGGTCTCTTGAAACTTTTTTTTCGCGACCTACCAGATCCACTTCTAACCTCAGCATATTACGCAGATTTCATCGAAGCTTCAAGTATATGCACCTCAGATTCTCACTAATATTATCTTACTAATTATAATTAGAACTTGAAAATGAAATTCTATGTCGCGACTCACTACACGCAATAATCAATAATCTTCCTGAGCCAAACTATGCTACACTCCGAGCCGTTATATTACATCTTAATCGGGTTCAAGAGAACTCGACGGTTAATCGCATGAATATTAGTAATCTAGCTATAGTCTTCGGTCCCTCCTTGATGGGTGCTAATACAGGGTCGAATATCCAAAACGCAGGCTGGCAGGTCAAAGTAGTTGATACAATCCTTCAGAATTGCTTCCAAATATTTGAAGATGACTGATCTGAATCATTAGTTAATTTTGAAACGTCACTTGGAAATTTAGTTTTGGCGTACTTACTCGAGAGCACTCGATGGGAATATAGTAGCTATTTCATTAAGTCAGCCTCTTAGATGAATGTATAATAGATTATGCAAGGGGAATGCAATTCGGCGGCGGGCAGAAAATTCTTGAAAGATCAGCTGGTATGTTTGACTCTGAACCAAACCCAATTTTATAAATTTTTACGTTCAAATCTCAATTGAGTCTTTGAAAGATTCATTATTGCGCTTTTAACTGCTCACATGAAACTGACTAGCTTGACCGCTATCTTAATAAATTCCTTACGTAATCGCCGTTAAACTGGTTTTGTGAGGAGAACTTTAAAATAGAAATTCTCATATTTTGATATGGTTATACTTTTAATATATTCCATCAGTCTTCAGTTGTCACAAAAATTCGTGTTACTGCCATTGTAGTGTAAACATCTATCTTAAGATCTTCGATTAAGTTTTATCAAAGATGTGTGGCTGATTGCTTCAAATCAGCTACTTAATAAATGGAAAGCAGTATACCATTAAACTTGCAAGTCTCGAACTGTTCCTTATCTTACAAGTTTAGCCCCCGTTTTTAGAAGACTTACAGAAAAGTTATATCTTAAAATTAGCTCACGATACCTTGCACCATTTGCTGATCAGGAAATCAAAATTTCAATTTCAAACCTTGTTCCATTTCTCGATATCTTCTATGGTTGTTTCTTTAGCAGTTCCCCAAATCATCCATGATCCTGGTTTCCACTGCGTCGTAGTTCGTTGTAAAACTAGATTTTCCACCACATCTTTCTCTCTACCCGAACCCGGTATCTGCTGTAACTCTCCATTCTTCGCTCTTGTGTATCTCGTTAACTTTTGCGTCGAGGAAATTTTAACGACGGATTGATGTATCAACATCCCATCGATGGGTGTTTTCGCAGCTCTGTTTGAAATGAGCCTTGCGGACCTGTTATATTTCACCAACTCCCAGACCAGCTTCTCTTCCCTCGGTCGACTGGCGATTCGTACTCTAAAGTTATCCAGAATGCCGTCTAAGCATATCTTCTGTAAGGCCGATGAGTCGCCTTCGGCAAAGGACAGGTACATTTGACGATGTAGGGCTAGTGCCGTAGGCGCAATGGTAGAGCGGTTGATAGAAAAGGCTCGACTCCAGAAGCTCGTCTCCTTGGGCGAGGAGAATTTAGAAATGAGGAGCGAGAGGTAGTCCCGGGCACGGGCGAGGAGTCGTGTGCGTTCAAGGTGGAGGGCTAGAAGAGGTGACTTCAAGATGGACGGTCGGTTAGTGCCAGTGGGCGCGATGAATGTGTCTATGGATGGGGGTTGGAAAGGGCTTCTCGATCGGCTCGGGGTGTGTGTGATCACTTACTCTCCAACAGGCCAAAGTCCGACGGTAGTTTTCCGCCTTCCTTCGATAGCACTCTGATACTGCGCTCGGCTGGCTGCGCGCCGCGGAGACGCGTTGGCTCATGAGGTGTGTGTCTCCGTGACGCTGATAGCCTTGAAAATTCGTGTCGAGCTGACAGAGAGATCACATTACGAACATGACTGGAATTTGGCCGTCGCATTAACTTGGACATGGCGTTTGGGTTGGGCCGTTCTATGGTCTTCACGGCAGGAAGAATATGTCACATTAGATGCATAAGTCCTACTTAGGTTTTTCCGGCCGGCAATTGTGACACTTATGGCAGTTGCATCTACAAGTTTTCCCCATCAGCTGGTACCCCTGATTCCTCCTCATACCCATATTGCAATGTGGCAGCATATGCCCATAGTGCTTTCAGTCTGGCTCCTCACAGCCCTATTTCTCCAACGATCATCCCGTCAATCAAGCAAGACCAGCACAAGTCTGTCCTTCACCCACGGCTAGCAGTATTTCTAGGGATCGCTAAATGTTGGCATTTGCCGCTTCTATTCTGCCGTGCCCTAAGTGTAGCGCCAGCTTTGTGGTCGGCATCAAGATGCATCCTAACGCTGTTTATCGAATTCTTGTCGGACCCTAAGGGAATCTGGAGTTTACAAAAAAGGCTGAGTGTGACTGAAGTCTTTTTGACTTTTGTTTGGGTAAGAATTCCTAAACCCAAAAACCCCTACGTATAAAGAATTTAAAATTATTATTGCGCTTCTTAAGAAGTGATACCTCATGATAGTCTCCAATTGCCTTTAACCTAAAAGATCAAACATTAACTTCACTGTTAGAGCTGTTCGGCGGCGTGGCTCAGTTTCAATTTAATGGACTGTCTGATGTCTAGGTGGTAAGGACGAGTCATTTTCATTGACAGTGAGATTCAGCTAATATTTTTGATGCAGGCTTCTCAATTACACTCCCCAAGGTAAAACTTCCTATCCTGGTCGTCGTTTTAGTAAACAAAGTCGTCTAACAAATTATACAAGCAACTCTCATCCGTCTATCAACTGTTAATTGTATCAACATCTACATGATCAACTGGTCGTTGAGACTTTCAGGAGCATATCTAGATCCTAGCTTGTTACTTATAGCATGGATTATTAATGCAACTGTAATCTTGACAATCCTATTACCATTTTCACAAACGTCTAACACTTTGAAGATATTAACCTTATTATCATGCATGATTATTCCTCGCCTAGCTATCGTCAAAGAGACGTCAGGTTTAAAATCCATATTCTCTGCTACTAGTTTTATAAGTCTAATGAGCCTGCTCTTTCAGCTGCATCTGACTGGAGAAAATGATAATCTTATTTCTATAAATTCAATTGACAGTATACGGACTTTGGGCACTGGTTGCGGTGAATCACAGTGTCTGATGAGCTATGGGACTTAAAGAAGAGGGTGCCAAGCTTTCATTTGTATAACTTGATTTGCTAAAACCCTTTCTAAACTCGGATACTTGTGGAAATTTGAAGTCTGCATGCTTCCTAGGTTTATACTTGTGGAAAATTAAAATCCGCGATGCCGTCTTTAAATTGAGCCCATCCTTTAGGTTAGAGATTCTATTTCTCGTTTCGTACTCCAAAGAGTGTGGATAACGTAGGCACAACAAATCCATCGGTGGAGTCGAGGCAAGAAATGGTATAATTATTATCGTTAGGCAACACTTCTATCGAGACTCCCCGAAGTGATGTTTGGTGGTACATTCGTGGTAATTAAAACCCATGAACCTAGAGGCGTTGGTGATTAATTTATAATTCCTCGAAAGGAGACGAACCTTAATGGTCTTGAGATCAAGTTCTAAACCTTCTTTCTTGTCTGTAAGGAACTCTTGTACGTCCTTTCGTTGATCACCTTGGAGTTGAATTACCTCTCCCATCTCAGTATCAACAACAATGGTGCCATTACAAGCTAAAACTTTAGTTCCAAATTCTTTGTAGTTGATCAGTGTAGACATACCGAATTTCTTTTTTATAACCTTTAATATTTTCTTCTGGTCGAATTTCTTGGGCAGGCCTTGGACAGTCGTTAAAGTCTTGCGACCATTCCGCTCTGCATGCGCCAGAAGTCAATTATTTGTAAATTCGCAGTGGTGCGTCTACTTTCAAGTACACAGGCGAGAAGCCCTATATTGGGAGTAGGTGAAGAATCTTACGCTGAATACGAATGTGAATGTAATTTTGCGACTGTTTGATCTCTCCGGTGTCTTCATCGGCTTCGGCGAAGGGGTCTAGTCATCATTGTATATTAGTTGGGTTATTAAATGCAGGAGATCTCCTGAATTAGAGCAAATTGAAAAGCAAATTTAATTGATGTCTGCATACCAAATGTTCTCAGATTTTCTATTGATGACATAAATGGTACCTTGGTGTCGAGATTATTCTGCTGAGCTAGAATGAAACGAATTTCTTAGAGATGTAGCTTTTTTGGATGATTTAAACGTGAGTTTGGAGGAGTTCTGGATGGAGCGAAGGTATATCGCTGCGTCGTGGAACAAAAATTTATTGAAATGATAAAGTTGCTGATTGTTCAAGAAGTACTTGGTCAACGGAGAGGGGCCTTCTTGAGGGGAAACCGGCAGCCGGGTGGTTATCATCTATGCCTGAGGTAACAAAACACTGATCACATGATTGGCAGAAGTGTTCGTGCCACAAAGTCTTCAGAAAGAACTGTTCGCTACCATCACAAGACTAACCTTATATTATCGAAACTTGCGTAAAGCAGAAGTCATTTTTGCTATCCAGACAAGAAGCGATTATATCGCGACTTAATTTTAGTTACAATTAAGATAAATCTGCAGCATCGTCATCATGTAATTTCTATGTGGACATCCGACATGAAATGTGAAACGCATGGTCTTGGCTTGCCCTAAGTGGGCAAAGGAGACTTCAAATGTGCTGCGGCTGGCAAATTATAGTCTAGTGAGAGAGATAGAGGCATGTTTATTGTACTACTCGAGTGATAAATTATCTAGCATAGTGGGCTCCTTTCTGACCCAGGCCATACCTTGTACCGGGCCCCCTCCTCTTTTATTACTTGTAAGATCATTGATTTATTGCCCGTGATGAATAGCCATTCAGCTCAGTGTTTTCCCGTGGAATTCGTCCAAATTTTCCACAAAACTTTCTACCCAAAAAATTAGATGAAAGAAGTCTCTACCTCAGCCAGACGAGGCCTAGAGACCGGGACCACAAGAGGTGCGTATATTCATCTATATCTCCCTTCTTTATAACAGTCGAGGCCGACTTGATCCAATCCACCATCTCCGTATCGGGTGCTAGGTACGCTCCGGAAACTGATCGGATGGCTTTTCCTCCGTGATCAAGGTTTGGTGATAAAAAGTGCTTCAACCCTAACATCTGATCTGATCTTGATTAATTTCATGATAATGGTGATGGGTGATTGTGTTGAGAGATGAAGACGATACAGACCGCGAAAGCGATTGAAAATTCTCATCGAAGGGAGGACTTTGTTACTCAATCTCGGCTCTGCAGACTCAACAGTGAGAGCTAGAGGTTCGTAGGGGATACCACCGACAGGTGTTGAGAACAGTCCCCCTTGGCCCTTTTAGAACTCTGATAAGAAAAATAGAGCATGTAAAAAGAGGTCCAGGGTAGATTCCTTACAAAGGCTAGTTTGAAGAATTTCGATTTGCCGGTTTATGGCCAGCAGTGAATAAAGGTAGAGGTACCCAGGAAAAGTACAGAACAGAATTCACGCCGGATAGTTGGCGTGAGCAAACTCGCCGTAAAAAACTGGGATTCTAAGAGATATGAGACATGCAGTTTTCTCGATACGTCATCGAAATGAGTTCACCTGTAAATATTGTGTACACAGAAATCTTGATGGGGCGAATGAATGCTTAACAATTTCACATTTTGTCGTGGAATATCTCTCCAGACTAACCTCAACGGAGTTTGCTATTTAAGCTCTATCCTCCTAACCATTGCTTTGAGGATCCGCAGAGAAATTTGTGCCCAAGTGTTGCATGAATGATCGTTGAGAGCAGCGCCTTGACGCTCACTAAGTGAATCCAGACTTTAAGCTTTACTTTGCACAAATAATGTTGTGGCAGATATTTCATTGGATAACATCACTCTAACTATTATGCCGTTCATAAATCATGCAATATTATTATTATTATTATTATTAATTCATTTTATTGTCCTGTCTGAGTCTATGACTATGTAGGACATGCAGGTCCTCTCTGCCTACAGGCCAAGGATACCTATACCAGTAGTATATCCCCTCCTATGCCTCCCATACAGCTCCCCTCAAACAGTACCACCCCTCACAAGTCCTCATTCGATCATACACTAAGAGGAGCCCTTTGCCCTTCATTATCTCCCCTCTCCAGCCAACGAAACGATGGCCATTTGCGGGTGTATGGCAGCCGGGAAAATTCGCAAAAACCACTGGGTGCGGGGCTCTTCTAATACCGACATTAGGAATAAATCCGAAGACATATTGCCCCTTCTGAAGCGTTCGAAGAGGCCGGCCAGCTGGGCGCTGCAGACTTGTGTGTACCTCGGGAAATTCACCCTCTGCCTTTCTAGCCTCCTTCCAACTCCTTCCCGAAGGTCGTGCTGAAATGTCAGAAAAGTCTTGACAGAGCGTGATTGCTGTAAAGTAGCTTAGCCTAACTTCTTTTGTACCGTCCAGGGCGCTGGGGAGTGCCGTTGACTCATCGACAAAAGAAGCCCTCCTGGCTAATTAGCCGAAATCTTAGTCTTGGCGCCCACAAAAAATCCAAAGTTGGAAACTCCTCGAAAATGTCAGTCCCAACACAGTCTTCAGAGTCTTCTTTCTCCTCTCGCTCCACATCTCAGCTGCCTGTTCTTCCTCAAGATGTATAACCCCATTAGAGCAGCAGTCCCCCATAAACCAAGACCCCAACTTTGTATTTTTCGACTTGATTTCCTCCTTGCGGGTATAAATAGCGTCGTAAATATGTAGAGAGTGATGGCCGGTAATGAATGAGGCAAGCTCCTGTTTGCAGTTAGGGTGACGCCTCTATCGGTCGGCGAGGCGAGTTGATATGTGCTTAGATCGGGGTTGAGGACTCAGAAGATAATGATGAGTGCTGCATGGTTGAGAAGTCGTCAAATGGAGATATACATGTGTTTGCTTTCGACTTCGATTCGGATGCGATTCTTCTTGGCTATCCCAGATATGCAGAGCATACTGAGCGATTACACCGGCACCACTGGAAGGTGAAGAATTCGTCTTTGCCGGCTAAATCATGCAATAGAAACTGTGCTGACACAGAAGAGCTTTTCATCTTTTTATCCCAAAGCCAACACGGACTCATCTCAACCACGAATAAGTCTGCTTGAGGGCAGCATATCAAGCGCATTCAATAAAAATTGTAAAACTTAGAGAGGTCTTCGTGTGAGTGTCATGTGAATCGTCAAAAGATGAAAGCGAATACAAGAATGAATTGATTAATTGTCTCCGTGCTACGAGTCCATCGTAGCACTATAATATCTAATTCCACCCCATCAACGCCCCCGATCATCACAACTAGTCTGACATGCTTGCACGCAGATCGTGCTTTTGCTTTTGGACTGGATCCGGACTTATGCAAGCATAAGCCTGTTTACATAAATAAATAAATTGTTCACTATCCTGATTTGGCGCCATGAAGCCCATGTACGGTTTTATTGGAAGACATGTACTTTAAGTAGAACGACTCAATTTGACGTTTAGGATTTTCACATTCAGATTTCATTTACAGATACCACTCGAGGTTAACCTTAACGGCATATAACTTCTTCCATGCATACCCGCCACCACTGGGAAAAGCGTGAAAACCCTGTGGCTATCAGATTGTGCTTTCATCATCCAACGATTACAATCTCTCCGCGAGAGGGGGACTATTCTCAACACCTGTCGGTGGTATCCCCTACGAACCTCTAGCTCTCACTGTTGAGTCTGCAGAGCCGAGATTGAGTAACAAAGTCCTCCCTTCGATGAGAATTTTCAATCGCTTTCGCGGTCTGTATCGTCTTCATCTCTCAACACAATCACCCATCACCATTATCATGAAATTAATCAAGATCAGATCAGATGTTAGGGTTGAAGCACTTTTTATCACCAAACCTTGATCACGGAGGAAAAGCCATCCGATCAGTTTCCGGAGCGTACCTAGCACCCGATACGGAGATGGTGGATTGGATCAAGTCGGCCTCGACTGTTATAAAGAAGGGAGATATAGATGAATATACGCACCTCTTGTGGTCCCGGTCTCTAGGCCTCGTCTGGCTGAGGTAGAGACTTCTTTCATCTAATTTTTTGGGTAGAAAGTTTTGTGGAAAATTTGGACGAATTCCACGGGAAAACACTGAGCTGAATGGCTATTCATCACGGGCAATAAATCAATGATCTTACAAGTAATAAAAGAGGAGGGGGCCCGGTACAAGGTATGGCCTGGGTCAGAAAGGAGCCCGCTATGCTAGATAATTTATCACTCGAGTAGTGAAATAAACATACCTTTCTCTCTGCGAGAGAGTGTAGTGTGTGGATCTAACCGGACTCGAACTGGCTTTTTCATGTCCCTTAGAGGGCAGGTGTTCAAGCTACCTCGATTCTACTCAGGAGGACGGATTGAATGGTGTACCACTGCACCATCCAACCCCAGCACAACTATTAGTTTGTGTTTTCTAAACCCTAATTTCAGATAATTGTAAATCAAAAGACAGGCAGTAATTTGCGCTAAACAACAATTCATTGCAGAGGGCAAAAACTCGATACCTGTCAGTGGTGTCTCCTACGAAATTCCACCTCTTGCTCCAGAGTCTGCAGAGCCGAGGTTGAGCAACACCGATTCAATTTTGAGTTGAGTTATCTACCTATCCGTCAAAGATACGCTTTCGTTACACTTAAGACGATAAAGACGACGATAATGATGCTAGGAATGATGTCAACGGCCAAGAATAACCACCGAAGAAGTTGGACAAAGAAATGTCTCAGGTCAAAAATAGGGACTGTCCATACATACGTGGGTTATTTGTTTCGGTCAGTGCTTCAATTCTGTATTTAGAACTGCAGGTTATTCTATTTCTAGCGCATGTCTATATTTAGAGATCAAGAGATCAAGTCAATCATGATCAGTGTATATAGTCCTAGAATTCTGGGAGAAATAGGAATCAAGTTGTTTTACTGAGTTATCTTTTACTTTAATTACATACACTTCGCCTGTCACGGGTCAGGCTCCCAGTTACCTGACAAATGAGGAAAGGTGTTGCAGTACCAGACGCTACAACGGTATATAGACAAGTCTTGTTATATCAGAACTTTTGTTAGTCAATAGCGGGCAAATAAAACGCCTACTGACGCAAAGTTAAATGTCCACC